CCTTTTGTTTGGGAAATTATCTATCAAAAGTGATTTTGCAAAAAAGTTTGTAAGCGGAGTTTCAATTTTAAATAATCACTTTTCAACTCTTTAGATGTAAAAGTTTTGTATAATTAATGTTACATTCTGTATATACTAGTAACTTTTACTACCAAAATTTCCTCTGTGAATAGATGTACCTAATATTGATTGTTTATCTCGCCAGGCAAATGAATAGTACTCCTCGCTCGATCTGGTTTTATATTTACATTTTGGATTGAATAACTAATGTATCTGGAAAATATATAAACTAAATACATTGCTTATTCAATGTAAAAACGTAAATTTATTCTTATAAATAGAACCAGAGAGAGTATTAATAAAGTCTATGTTTGGAAAAAATAATAAATGCTTCTAGTAATTTGAAAGATGACTTATATTTGAGGACATATTTTTTTCCGGAGTTCTTATAAATAGGGTGGACGAAGTAGTTTTTAGTTTTTTGTGTTCTGATTCTCATTTTTTAGAAAACAGTAATAAATGGATGGAACACTCTTAGGCTATGTTTGGAATTTGGATATCATAAAGTGAACGGGGTGGAGTGGAGCGGAGCGGAAGGAAGATTTCATTTCATCGTTTGGAAATTTTAGGACGGAAGAAACCAAAATTTTCATTCTGCCCAAATCGGAGGGGAAGAAGTATATGGTCAATGGTGGTAAGTGATGGAATGGAATCCATACCACTCCATTCCGCCCACTCCATCGGATTTTAAATGATACAAATGATGGAATGCCACTCCATTCCATACCTCTCCACTTGATCTGATTCCATCAATCCAAACAAAGTCTTAAAAACGATTATGTTTTTTAAAAGTGATTTTTCTATTAAGAACTTTGTAACATGACAGACTTGAAGTCTGTCTGATAGTCATTGAAATTAGTATATTAAAATCTGTCTTATTAGTCTTTAGCATATTTTCAATATATAATAACAAAGACACAAACTTTCATATACTTTAGGGACTGCTTATTATTCTTATATACTTTAGAGACTTAGTAGGAGGGATAGTGATTTGAAAGACTAAATTGAGATTTTATAGTTTTTTTATACTTGAGACCTTGTGGTGGATGCTATTTCTCCTCAACTGCATTTTTATATCAGTATCAGTGGGCTAAACTCAGTTACTTGTATGCATTCTTCTAATTAATGTTTATTGTTCCTTTCTTATTGGTTAGATAAACTTTTTCTTTTAATATCATCATTCACTCTTTGGTTTTTCTTAAAATATAACCACATGTTTGTGGATATATTCAAATTATAAATTGGTAGTTTAGCTGAAATAACTTCTCGATCACTTTCATTGCTTTTAATTTCAATTGTTGCAGTTTGTGAGTCTCAATGATTTACTGTTTATATAGCCGAACAGTTTTCTGCTTTTGAATAATATTGTCTCGAGTATGATACTTCAGTGATCTCCTTGTTTCTTTGTTTTATTTGATGCAGGAAAAGGACAGGGTTTGTCCCAAACATAAAGATACAATTATAGCTTTTGTTTTAGGTAAACATTGATGCATTTATTGTTGATTAATTTGCAGTCAAACCAAAGGTAGCATTTTTGTATTTAAAGTGGAAATAAGAAATGAAAATACCAAACATTTTTTCAATTTAAATCAGTCTTGTCAAATTCCGCCATAACGGATTTTGTGCCAAGCCGCATAGCCACATCACCTATTATATCCACCAGAGTACGCAATGCCATATTTATATGGTGGATTTTTGGCTTACAGCTATAATCCACCATTGGTAGCACTGATCTAGGTAGACCCTTATTTTGTGAATGCCTCAAGTGTGAGTTTCATGCTGTTCTCTTCCTGCATATCTTATGTTTCTATGTTTGCAATTAACATAATATATGGATGTAATGTATTCATATTTAACATTAGAATTGGTTGGTACACTGCTGAGGTTGGTAAGACCCTTCTCTTGTACTTTTAAAGATTGACCACAACAAGATATATAAGTTAAGCTAATGCATGTTGATTATTGATAATATCTGTAATTGAATGCCACTATCTTATTCTTTCACAAAGAATATCACTATCTTTAAACTCAAGAATATTAGGAAGCATAATCAAAGGCGATTGATGCTGGAGCTGAGACTGAGACATCTAGGATGTTTTATATATTATTCAATTTATATGTCTACCACTCTGGAAAACTTGTTGATTCTCCGGAGTAAGTGGAGGCTGATAGATCACTAGAGGTGTATGCAAGCAGAAACAAGAGGCAGTCACAGCTAGCAAGGCCCAATTATTTTATTATTTATTTCTGTAGGACAGTTATGTGTATTTGATGCGATTGTTGTCTGAGTGGTTATGGGTATGTCAGCTATAGTTACAGGCATGTAGAGCAGTTATGTGGCTGTTTATGCAGTATTTGAAGTACAAAACTCAAGTATTTCGTGTGGTTGTTATCTGAGTGGTTATGGCAGTTATAGATACAGGCATGTAGAGCAGTTATGTGACTGTTTATGTAGTATTTGAAGTACAAAACTCCGTGTTAGGAGTATATCCCGGGTCTTGGCGTTTTATTATAACAAACACTACAATTCTGGTTTATACTAGGAACAATTAGTAGCTATATTTTTCTAATATTGTACTCTTGAGTCTAATAGAAATTGTTCACAAAGAATTAAGAAGTTATATGCAATGATTCAAACTAATGACTTGAATTGATTGTTCTTTTGTTCCCATGTTCTAGCTGTATACTATTACACAAATGAGCATGGCTGAAGTCCAACAATAAAATGGCTAAGCTTAATCTATCTTGAATCTTGAAATAAAACTGACTAAACTGAATTAAGGACTACTAACTCTTGTTACGTGAGAAATTTTTATTTCATCTTAGAAATAGGGTGCCACAAGTTATTAATGATTATCTTTACTATTGTTTTTAGTTGGCCTTAAATAAGTGATATTTGATAATCAAACATTGCTCTCATGCTATCAGGGGGGCCTGGTAGTGGAAAAGGTACACAATGTGAAAAAATAGTTGAAACCTTTGGATTTAAGCATTTGAGTGCTGGTGATCTTTTGAGAAAGGAGATGGTTTCTGATAGCGAGTATGGGTAATTTTCTCATATTTTAATTTTATGTTTTTTTCCCTTGGTGCATATTTATGACTTTAACAATTAAAACATCAAAACAGCTCTATGATTCTGGATACAATTAAAGAAGGGAGAATTGTTCCATCAGCAGTGACTGTAAAATTGATTCTAAGAGAGCTGGCATCTGGTGACAGTCATAAGTTTCTTATTGATGGGTTCCCTAGAAGTGAGGAGAACCGCATAGCTTTTGAACGAATTGTAAGTTTGAATTTTTTAGCTTTTATTTATCCCTATTAGTGCAAACCTGAAGGGCATTTTTTCATATGAAAAACGGTCACTTAAATTTGAGTTGAAGGAAGTAATGTTCTTTTTCTTTGCCCCCCTTTCCAATGTTAATGAATTGATATAGTATTCGGGTTATTTTTGTGTCAGCACCAAATTTTCTATGCATTGAATCAACTACAAAATTGAATCATCCTCTTTATACCTTTGCAAATGCACTTTTTGTCCTTATTAGAACGAATAAGTCCATGTATTCTACCAAAACACTCTTCCTTATGCAGACTGGCTCAGAACCAAATTTTGTTCTTTTCTTTGATTGCCCTGAAGAAGAGATGGTGAAACGGGTGCTGAGTCGTAATCAGGTTATTATGAAGTTTTTCATGATGTATTTCAGAAAATGATTAGAAACTTCTCTTTGATATATACAACTCATTTTATGCAGGGCCGAATTGATGACAATATAGATACAATGAAGAAACGACTTAAAATATTTGAAGCATTAAATCTTCCCGTAGTTGATTACTATGCAAAGAAGGGGAAACTTCACAAGGTAATTGTGTAGTTCAATTTTCATTTGAATTTAATCGAACTAGCATTATTGAGACACTTAAACCAATTTCCAGTCTGCAAATCGTCCACCCAAATACAACTGAAGATTACAAAACCAATATCCATTTCTATCTGTTGTCTAATCTGGTGACCTGACACCCGTTTGAATCTGACTGGAAAATCACTTGATTTTATCAGATTCTGGTTAGGTGTTAAATTGTGATAATTATGCAATGGGTTTTTTATATAAGAAAATTAGCTTCTGGTCAGAGTGTTGTACATTTCTTTCTGGTTAAAGAGTTAGACTTAATTATATGACAAACTAATCTCTGCAGATCAATGCTGTGGGAACAGAGGATGAAGTATTTGAGCAAGTTCGGCGAGTTTTTGCGCAAGTGAGGTACATTCAATCATTAATGAGTAATTATTTTTGACTGTATTGACTGGGTGCACAAATCTTTACATCCAATAATATGCTATGAGACATGCCTTAGTTTACTTGAAAACTTGTAATTCTGAACTATATATGCCTTAGCTAGCTTCCATCTGTATATGTGGATTTAAAAGCTTTAATAACTTGCATCATTCTATGCAGCACGGTTACATGAAATCTGTGTGATTGGGTTGCAAGAGCATTGTGACATTGGGCGAAGTTTGAATTTTGCGGGGACTCTATATTTCCTAGTTAACCACAACAAGATCCAAATTCCTGGCTGATTTGCTCTGGAAATGTGCGGGTCTCCATAACTCAACCACTAAAAAAATTTCAAAGTGACTGGTTGGATCGGTTTAAGGTTCAAGTATTTTAACGCTATCGAATCTTATCCTTTGACAGAAATAATAGTAGGTGAATGTAAACGTTTGATACACAAACAAGCACAGTTGAGTTATACCAACAGTGTGTTGGTTCAAGTGAAAGGATTTGGATTCTTTTGAATTTGATTTATATTTGTGTAAGAAATAATGACCTAATAATTAATTTCTCAATTGTAACAATACTGGATGTGTGGCAGTTAGTGACATATCTTAGGTTATTGTTCTAGAGCTTTTTTATACGCATGCTTTTTTCTGCATGGAAATGGAATTATATGGAAGATTGCTGCAAACAAGCTTTTTGAGTCAGAGCCAGACAAATAGTAATGAACATAACCGTGTACTTTTTATGAGGATATGAAAATGCAGTTAGATAAGATATGAAAATGCAGTTAGATGAGATATGAAGAGAGTTAGAATGGTGCTGGCTGATAGAGGATTGAGTTATTAGGAAGCTATATATCCAAAGACTTAACACCACATGTGCTTGGTGCTTGGTGCTTGGTCCAATTAAACCCCAGATTATACCATAACATGTAATGATTACAATAAAGATTCTTTGATCTAACTTGTTCGATCCAATTCTAGAAAATAGAATATTCTTATTATAAAATGATTATTTGCACATCAAAAGTAACTAAAGGGATTATGTACCGTATTATTTCTCTGTTTTAAAATAAGTGTCATTTAAGATTTTTTTTTATATAGATTAAATAATACTTAAAAGTAGTATCCAGAGTAATAATTATAGGATACAATTGGATATAATTATAGGATACAATTAAAAAAATAATTATCATTATTAATTGAAAAATGAAAAAGACATTGGATTATAATAATACAAGCTTAGTCATAACATCGAACCCAAATGTGGACCAATACCACATTGTTTGATCAACACTTTTATTCAATATATTTGATCCATATATAGTTTAGATATATTGATTACTCAATATATCAAAAAAAAAAGTGAATTTTTTTTATAACAAGAACCAAAGGTAATATATTTTATGGTATTAAGAATTCAATCAAAACCTTTTACAACATAAAAATATATTCTAATATTAAAAAAAGATTAAATATATTTTAAAAATATCAAATTTTGTTTTTGATTCCTATAAAAAATTATATATTTTGATCTCTACAAAATTATTATGCACGTAATTTTAGTCTTTACTATTAAATTAATATATATTTTTGAATGATTATTTTACAGGCATGTTTAGAACTTTATAAAAAGAAATTTAATTTCTAACTCGAATTTTCATTACTTTTATTAATATCATTTGAAATTTAAAAAATTCATATTTAATTCTTTTTTATTTAAATTTTTTTTTGAAATTTGGTTAAAAAATATTTTATAGTATTCTAAATATTTATAAAAAAAATTTAAAAATTTAAAAGTTTAAGGATAATTAAATAATTTTTAAAATTAAAAAAAACTGTTATAGGGACTAAAACATATTATTTTTTCTATAAGAATAAAAATGAATTTTAAAATATTTATAGAGACTAAAATATATTTAGCCTTAAAAAAATAATTTAAATAATTTATTTTATAAAATGGATTATGATTGTGAGATTTTTAAGGAGTTTTTGACATTAAAAATATTTTTTCAAAACACATTTCAATAAGTTTCCATTTCCTATTTTTATTTTATAATTTTATCTCACTCTTATCTTCGCTTTCTTTCTTTGCTCACATTTATTTATTTCATTTATATTTTGAGTTAAAAGATAATATATTGATAATATAAAATAATTTTATATTATTATTTAATAAAAATTTATTATTTAACTATGTCGTATAATTAATTTAAAAATAATAATATGATTTGACATTTAATATAATTGTAATTAATTGACAGTATAAAATTATTTTACCCTATCAGTATATATATATATTTTTCTCTTATGTTTTTATTCATTACTCATTTTTAAATTTTTAAATTTATTTATTTATTTTAGTTTTTGGATTATATTTCTCAGTCAATACTCTCGTTCTTTCACAAGTGAAAAATTTTGTTCTTCATATTTTTGCAAAAATATTATTTTTTGTTATTTTTTATTGATAATTATATATAATTTATTGTTTGAAGTATTGTCATAGACGATATAAAAAACATTTTTTTATTTATTTTCTAAAAACAACATTACTTTTAACGTTTATTTGAAAATTTAATGTTTTTTTATTTGTCATTTTCAAAATTCAAAGTAATAATGATTATAATTTTTTCAAAATTATTTTTAACATTTATTATAGAGAGAAAAAAGATATATTAAAATAATGAATAGTTAATGATATTATAAATAAAATTAAAATTATTGTTCAAAAAAAAAACAATAATTATATTTTTTTTATGTGTAAAAAGTAAAAAAAAAAAAATTATAAAGAAATAGAGTGAGTGTGACATAGGAAGGCAATAACTTAAAACAAAAATTGATTATTAATCCAGTTATTTTATTTTTTTGACAGTAGATTATTAATCCAATTCTTACATCTTTAAAAAATATAACTAAAATGGTAATGGTGAAAATATGGCGTATAAAGATATCAACCCTCAAAATTCTCAAAATAAGAGTAAATTGTAATTCTTTTATAGTAAATATATGAATCACCGTAAAAACCACAAATTTTTATTAACATGAGTAATTAAATTAACACATGAAACAACCATCGTAAATACACATCTAATTGTTGCATGTAAACACATATCATTTAATATAATAATTTTGTTGATTGAATGATGAATAATAACAATCATAGTTTTTCAAATTCAAATCTATAATATATCTATAATAAATAAAACCATGAATTTAATAGTCAAGTCTATTTACAAAAGCAAGAGCATTACTAGTCAATGAAGCAAGCTTACCAACACTTATTTTAATCATCTTTTGCACTGAAGATCTCACTTCCATTTCATCAAACTCATCCGTACATGTCCCTGCATTTGTTATAGCCGAACTCATCCATGTCTTTATTGTATCCCATTGAAACTTCTCATCACTAGTTCTAGTACCATTCAAATGCACGAGCCCAACCGCCGATTGCTCGAGCGAATCCACCGTGTCGTCAACGTTTTCGCTGCAATCGGCGATAACCAATGTTTCGACATGTGTTAGTTTCTTGGAGCTTAGGTTTTTCAATGTGATTGATGCACTTCTGGCCGATTTTAGAGCTAGGTAGATGGAGATTTTGGTGAGGGTGAAAGTGTTTGTTTTGATTTTTGACGTGTATGGGGAGAGTGACTTGTAGCAAACATTAGGGTACGTGGTTGAGTTGCATTGGTTCTTTAAGAATTTTATGTAGGTTGTTGATGTGGAATTTGTGGTGGTGGTGGTGGTGTTGGTGCATGTAGATGCTGTGGATTGAATTAGAGTTGAGATGAATACAAGGGTGAATGTTAGTTTGAAGAGATTATGCAATTGGAATGCCATTTTTGTTTGCTTTCTATGTATTGGTTTAATGCAAATGCATGTAAGGGGGGTTTTATATGTGATAAGTTTGGCAAATTTGATAACTTGTATGACAAATTGATTTTGTTTACAAGCAATGCTATACCTTACAAGAAGGGATTGCATGTGGCACATGTTGATTTCGTAGTATTGTCAAAATACACGTAATAAATAACATGAATCTAGATCGCGTGAGAAATAATATAAGATCAAATAGGAATGCACATGATCTCATTATTGACTTTGATTGGAATGTATTATTGAACTACACCAATTTATTTGGTAGGTTGTGATTTGCAGGGAGGGTATGTTGATAAATTTTGTTAATATAACTTGTCATATTAAACAGTTCAAATTCACTTGGCAGCGCTACAAATAAATCATAGTTAAAATAAAAATAAATATAGGTTACAAAAAGAAAGAAAAAATTTGTTTGAATTTTCATAAAAAACTTAGCTTATGTTTGGATAGACGTCCATATGCAATTCCACGCATGTTTATGGGTAATTCTATCCTGAAAAAGAGAAGCTCCAAAAGGAAGATTTTAGACTACCGTGATTTTTCATTGTACCGCTAAACAAACTTACTATTAATATCATGAACAATACACTTTAGTCTGAGTTTATTAATTAGGCCATGAGACTCTTTTGGAATTAACAACTAAATATTCAAATAGAGAGAAATAAACTATATGCACACCTTAACATTGATAAAAAGTCTTTCACTCAAAATGTTTTTTTCCTCCTTTTCTAATGAGTTTATTGGCCTTCATAAATATCTTCATAACTATAATCTCGGGCCCTCAATATTTAATGAGAATTTCTTTTTACATTTTTCATAAATGGAGAAAAACTTTTGAAAATCCGAAAATATCCTTTTAGTGCATCTCCAAACGCATTCTAAATTAAGGTGTTTTGGAAATGAATCTCCGAAAAGAATTTTTTTAGACTTGGACGTTATATTTAAACATGCAGTGATATTTTCGGAGATGCATCTCTGAAATATCCTGTTTTGAGGCTTTCGGAGGTGCATCTCCGAAACCCTGGATAGTGATATTTTTTTATTTAAAATTTGAAGCTTTTAGAGTTGTTGAATTGTGATGAAATTGAGAGTTGGAGTGAGTTGTAACAAGTGCAAATGAGTACATCAATTTGAATGACTTTTGAAAGTAGAGATTTTTGAAGGTTTTTGGGTCTGTGAGAGTTAGATTTTGGATGAAATGAGAATAAGGGGGTGACTGTTCGTATTTGTTTCTGCTATACCCTATTTCAGAGATGCATCTCTGAAACACCTCTGGTTTTGAAAAAAATAAGTGTTTCGAAAATACATCTCCGAAATAACCCAGAAAAAATAAATAGTGGTGCATCCGGAAATCCATCTCTGAATTTTAAGAGTAAAAATGAAATTTCGTCAGAGGTGGCTAAGAAGGTGATGTGATGGAGAAAGAAATTCCCATGTTTAATTTAGAGTAGGCACTTGACATGGATTAAATGGAGAACCAAATCTTGTTTAAGTGAGAGTTTGGCCCATAACTGATTTCAATTTGATGTTTGATTCAATTTGCATTAGCTAATGTTTCGTTAGCATTATTTTGGTGAGGGATTTGATTCGTTTTGCATTAGTAAAGGATTACTAATTGAGATGGTCAAAGGGAGTGTGGAATCCCATGTGAACTTGGTAGGGTTCATATGCTGATTATTTTTATAATAAAAAGGAGGTAGTATTCAATAGTAAAGATTTGGTGGAATTTCCAATTCTAGCTTGTGATAGGATAAGGGCTGTCACTGGGAAACATGTGCATTTAAGGAATCTTGTGGTAATTTTGGAGGTAGAACGATTGACAGTTAAGATGGGGGAGAGATGAGGAAAGAAAATGATTTGAAGGTCGGTGGTGGTACACATGGAAGCGAGTGATGGAGGGAAAATTATGGGCTTGCATGTGAGACAATTTGTAAGCGAAGGTTGCACCGTCTTTCTAGTAACAAGAGAGAGGCCATACTTCTCCATCAATTTTTCTGGGGGTGGGGGGAGCTAGTTTTTCATGTGGTTGAGGGGTAATTTGCGTGGATGACATGTATTCATTTTTAAAGAGTCGTTCATAACGAACAATTTAAATTTACAGGTGATAAGCGTTGACGCATGTGAAGGGTG